CCCATTCACAAAAGGCCTTGCATTAACTAAGTAGGCCTAGGAATAAATATGAAGTGTAAAACAGTATATGGGTATAATGAAATGATGATATTATCAAAGCAAATGGAGTTACTGTGCAATCAGCTAGGAAAATTCAATTAGAATAAAATTCAGCAGTTAGTAAAGCTACTGACAATAACTAAGGCAACTCACCCACCCTATGCCTAGTTTTTCAGGAATTCATTCCTGCAGAGCCCCTTTTTCTAGTAAAACTCAACCATTAGGCTTCCCAACAACTCAAAACTCAGTTAAAGTGAATGAGGGGATAAAAAGCAAGGAGCAGAGGGGGTGGGGATAAACACCTGCACTGCTAGGCCCCTTATTGTACCTGCTGGGATTATGGGCACATGACCCACCAATAAGTAATATGGCAGCAAAGGTGTGAAACCTACAACAAACATTTAGTATTGATGTCTGAGTCTTAAGCCATTGGGCTGCCAGGTCCTGCACTGAAAGGAGGGACAAGCATGAGTGATGTGAAGATAATGGGAGCTATGCTTCCGGCATATTATTGGATCAAGGGTAGCCCTGGGTAGTCCTTACTGCAAATAAAAGTGAAACTCCACATCCAGCAATCCTTGCATTAGCCAAAGCTGTGCTGAGGCCTAAAGTTTTTCCTGATTGAATTACTCCCTCCATATACATGTGCTTTGCACTTCTCTTTGGGCTCTCCCAGAAAGTTGTGAAGTTCACTTGCTCACTAAGGGATTTCACTTCAATTTCACTTCTTGCAGTACCCTTTGGCCATTTATGATATTTGCAATTACTGGGTAACTCTCAAGAATTGTGATAACAGCACCAAAAAAAGGGAGGTAGGTGTGTAAAAGTCAATTTCAGGACACAGTACATTTATCAGTTGGCCTTACATTCAAGAGTACCACTTTCTGCTGGCATATTTATTTCAAAGACATTAGCTTCAGTGTGCTCTTTTCCCAAAGCACAAACAAAACCATTGTAGGATTCTTCAACTTTCTGCTGCAAAACCACCCAAATTGAAGTATCTAGGGCTGCCCTGGATCATGTCATATTCAGGGCAGCTAAGTTACTCTTCTCTTCACATCGTTGCTGCTTGCCACTCCTTTCAGTGTCAGAGCTGGCAGTCTAATGGCTTACGACTTGGACATCAATATTGAACTTGGGAATTCGACCCCAGCCCTCACCTCTGTGAAATCCAAAAATTGTGTGTTATGAAAAAAATGGACGAGCGGGACAGCGGGGTTTCGAAAAAACTAGAAACAGGAATAGGAAAGAGGGAGGAGGACGTAGGGATACAAGATGATCCTGGATATAATACGGGCATTGGCTGTCCTGTATGTACCTGGATCAAAGATTACCCACGAAATAATTGGTATTACCAAAATAAAAGTGCATACGCACATAATAGCCACACGTGGGGAACCATGTTGAGGTTGAATACTGAAGCGACATCTTTGTTTCGGGGAGATCGTTTCTCAGTCCAAATTGGGCAGTCAGAAGGTAAGATCCTTCCATCTATCAATGCCTTACATGAATGTCATATAAGATAATCTAAACTGGTTCAAATCTGGCTCGCATGCATATAGCGGAAGACTTCGCATTTGTCAGATTTTCAACTGCCATTAAAAGAGCGCAACCGTTTCGTCAGTCAGCTGACTCCTCTATAAAAGTAGGGGAGGAGTAGGAATGAACATTTAAAAATTCTTTAGTAAGCTTAGCGTATACTGCAAATCCCATTCCCACCGACGAAAGGGGTTAAATCATTTCTGCCAAAGTTTACACGAAGAAACTGTGATGTGGAATGCCTTCCTCAATATCAATGGATGAATCCAGGAAAAATTTGTCCAGGATATTTTGGTCCCAAATGAGGAATAGGACAAAGGGGTTGGTCCCTGAGGTAAATAATGTGTGTAATAGCTCATCGAGAGTTTACGATAATTAAATAATTGCGCCATCAGCTCATGACAACCTTCTAAAATTAAGTTCTTTATTACCTTGAAGGTTGAAAGTAGTGTGGACTATGATTCAAGGATACATATTTTTCTACCTTATCATCACATGCAGTACTAAAGGTAAAGGCAGAGCCGTGCAGAGGGGGGTGCGAGCGATGCGTCGACATCGGGGGCGCCGACTGACTGCCAAATCAATACAAAATATGAGTTCCAATTCATATTTTGTATTGATTTGGCAGTCATCATGGCAGTATCAAATTGCAAATTATCCTGAATTTAACTAAATTAAACATAGAAATTATTACGTTATGTATTATTGGTGCTAGGGAAGCTGGAGAGGTATGGAGGGGGGGAAGGGGGCTGGATTGATACCTAGCACGGAGGGGGAGGCGGGATTTCTCGCACAGGGTGACAAATATCCTCGGTACGGCTCTGGGTAAAGGTATGGGAGAAAGGTACTTAAGGTGGGGGAAGGACTATGAGAATGGGGTGAACCGTAAGTCCTGCTCATATTTTTGATGATGAGGTAGAAATAAATATATTCTTTGATCATGGTCAGGTTACCCATGCGCGTGAAAAATGTATGTTACTCCTTCCACGTTCATTAAAATCTTAATTATTTAAATCGATGCATACAAATTTTTCAAAATTCAAAATTTCTTTTGAAATATCCTAAATAAGTTGATGATCGTCCATCCAGTCAAGGGAAATTCATTGAGCGATCTGCGAGCGCCATTTTCCTTATCTACACAGACTAGACAGAAGTAAATAGACACTCAAGTTTGAAAGAGCATAAGTTTTTCTGAAACTGCGTGCAGCACTTGTGATACGATAGTAGGGTTAGTACTTCCTTCCTTTGCTGCGTACTTATTCTTACAGTTACCTATAACGTGTTAATCATGTTCCCTGGAATGGGCCTTTTGAAACTCAGTGGGTGTCACATTAACTTCTGTCTAGTCTGTGTATAGGAAGGGCTAAAGATCACAGTGGTGTATCCTGAGAAAGGAAGCCTCTTCACTGGCACAATTCTGAAATACTTGCAAGAAGAAAGAGAGCAACAATCCCCGTTGATTTTTCTTTCTACATTTACAAAGTTCTATACTGGTAACGAGAAGCAAAACGCATTGGCAGAAAGTCAGCTGAAATTAAAGGCCGTTCGCTTTACAGTTCCTGTCCTTAATCTGCTGACGCCATCCATCTCCGTCGATATTCGTGTGTTGAAAACTACCTCTGTGGATTTTCCGTGTTGATCGACAGGCGATGATCCTAAGATGGTCCAATAAGGGTTGCTTATTCTTCATTCTGACTTGAAAGGGTGTTCTCATTATTTAAGTCGAGAATTCCAAGTGAATTCCATTTCATGAATCAAAAGGCGATCGTCTGCCTCTGTGCATTTCCGAAATGAGAACACGTAAGACTTTTCCCCCATTTTTCAATTTGTTCTGACGAAAATATTAAGAACCCAACTCGAAGTTTCGCTTATTCTGTATGAATATCCATCATACTGCTTCCATGTGGGATAGGATTGAGGTTATGCGGGCCGAGTCGATTTTTTTATTATGAAGCCTTCTCCCCGCGTCCCTCAACGATGACAGTCCTCAGACTTTCACCTTTAAATCAGGAAAAGTTCCGAGTAATTTTGGACCTGCTCTTGTACGGTATTCAATGCCAAGAACTTGGATTTGTGGTTGAGTGAGCGCATGCACCATGACCTGACTTTACAATAAGTTTTCATTCTTCGTCAGTACCCTCCCGGCCGCCACGCGTGCTATCTGCTCGCGTTTGTCCATTTCTTTCCCCCGAATCGCTTCCATTCGTCCAAGTAGACCTAGACACAAGTCTTAAATAGCTACGAGTTTTCTTTGTCTCCCAACAGGTGATATTGACGCCTGGAATTGGACAGAGGTGAAATCTTGTGCTTGTCATCGAAAGTGGATATTCCGTGACACGATTTAGTGTCGTGGATGTGAAGTACAACAGTGATATCCCAACAAGTGGTGATCAATTGTGATTCTCTGTGGGGGGGGGGGGGGGGGGGTTAAAGATTAATAGGGTTCGGTCCATTCAGTGAAAAATCTTATGTTGCTTGAAAGTTTTTCTCCTCATAACATACACTTCTGCCTCTCCATTTGCAATCGTGGAAGACACGAGAATGGCATTGCACGTTCTGGATAGCCGACAACTGAGGTATAGATCCATTGAATTGCGGAAAAGAGGCTCTACCATGTGTGGATTTCAGATGATGCCAAGATGCCCCTTCATCCGGAATCGATATCGCCAATATAACAAAAGGAAAAGTGTTATTGGTCGTTGCAGATATAATAGAGTACTACGCAAAACTTGACGGCTCTGTCCCTTACCACCTTGTTCCCTGTGGAAGAATAGCGCTGAATCTGTTGGACAGTATTTCCGCAACTTTGACACCTTTTCCATTCATCTCTTGTCTGGAGTTAAAAAAAAAAGACTTTTGACGCTTCTTGCATAAAGTTAGGGAAATGCAGAGACGAGGGAGGAATTATTGCGGCAATCCCCCGTCATGTACCCCGTTGGAGTAAGTGAAGTTATTAATATCTTCAGTGACCTCAAAAGGCCATAACACTGTGTCGACTTCAGTAAATTTTCGTAAATATCATGATAAGATTCTGCTCAATGGTAACACTTCCAGACTTTCGAAAGAAAGTGAGATTTCCTGAGGTTGCAGTCGAGTTCGATTCGCGGATTCCTCAAGGATGTTGGGGTAAGACTTGTTTGTCCTGGTCTCATCAGAGTTAAGTCTGAGTTTATTTCTTCATAGTAGAAGTTCTGGTGTAAGATCTACGTTGCTAGGGAATTTCCCTACAATTTCACGCAGTACGAGGGTATGCTGGTGTTTCGAAAAGCATCCGCATAGGAAACGAAAAATCCAATTGGCTTTCTCTTCAGTATACTTTTCTTGTCTCGCTCAAGGGATGTCAAACATAATGTACAAAATAGCATCATCGAGAATTCAATGGAGGCACTCGTAGGATAATAATAATAATATTTAAAATAAAACGCCCGTGCGTGAATCGTGTGAAGACACTTCCGTCACAGGCAAGAAATTCTTAGAAGTTTGTCGGATCGGGCACCGGGAAAGGGAGGTAGGCTGGGGAGAGGATTGTTGCTGAGATCCGCCGTTTGAGCAGCTCATTCACAGAAACTATTGGTGGGTGGAAGTTTCTTTCACCGTAGATACTCCATTTTCTTCAGAATGTGGTTATAATTTATCATCTTCCTCTTCTTGCACTTCCTCTAGAGATGGAGCAAGAATGCCTAGCTTCTCTGGAAATTTCTCTGCCTGTGACTGCAACCAGTTAGCCCTCGAGTGTTAATAACTTCTCATCGTTCTGGAAATGAAGCAAATATCTAAGATAAATGGAGGCCGTGATCTCACCTTTGCGGCTGCGCGATAAAGCCGTGCTGTTGATGCTTTTCCCGTTTGGGCTACCAGTTCAAAGAAAGGACCTTTCTTGTTCTGCAGCAGCTCATATGGTCGCCCAAATTCCTACATCAGAAAACCTTAATCGATGCGTCCGTTAAAATAGTGTCTATTCGTCTAATTAAGTAGTTCGAGATGCACTTACTTTAATTTCTCCGCGATCAAGAACGAGAACTTTGTCACTGTCAATGATTGTATCCAAGCGATGTGCGATCGTCAACACCGTACAATCCTTGAAACTCTTCTTCAGAGTCTCTTGGAAGAGGGCATCCGTCCTGAAGTCAATCGCGAATTCGAATGTGGAGTTTGTATTGTCGAAAGAAAAAATACTGTACTGAGATAGTGGATTAGTCCGATTATTCTCACTTGGGATCGACGTTGGCCGTAGCTTCATCAAGGACAAGAATTTTGTTTCGTCGAAGGAGGGCCCTGGCAAGACAGACAAGCTGTCTCTGACCCACTGAGAAGTTACTCCCTCCTTCGAAGAGTATCGTGTTCAATTTCTCCGGTAGCTCACTGACTGCTTCCTTCAGCTGAACCTGATTCCACACAAATTCCGAAGCTGTATTGACTAGCTCTGTTTTGCAGATTTCGGGAATGTGTTTAGGTAGTCAAAGGTTGGGCTCACTTGTTCCACGACTCTCCACAAGGCCTCATCGGAATGCTCGTTGAAGGGATCCAGGTTTTTTCGCATCGTTCCCTACAGAATCAATCGCATTACAGTAGCATTAGGAAGCATTTGAACGCAGTCATCAGTCACTTTGGTAGATCAACCGGTGTGCGTACGGCTTTTTATTCTCCCATTGGCATTTTCTCTTGTTTTATCATAGGTCATTTTCAAGTGAAACCCTTATTTGCCCTTCCTCAGTCCTAGAACTAATCCATGGGCAAAAGCGTTGGAAGGAGAGCACAAAAGAAATGGTTAATAGCCCTGAGGATCCGACTTATATAGCCCCAAATGGCTCTAGTTGATCTAATCTTCACCAACGCTATGATATCCACACATAACTGAACGCAGGATCCAAAAATCTGCAAACCGGAAACATTAACACGTTGGAATATTAACACGCATCATTGTCCACTCTACCACTCTACCCCGAAAATCAAAACGAATTAACAAGTATAAAGACATGATAAGACAAGACAATTTCTTGGAGGCTCTGTGCATATGGCCATTATCATTCCGCTTCCTCTACGAGGGCTTTTCTTCGATCCAATGCTTTCCTCCTAAATTCTGCTAAATTCCCCCACATAAATGCTGAGTCACATGGGAAAGGATTCGACACAGAGTGCAGGGAAAAGAAAAAGGAAACCATACGAGCATTTCAACTCGCCCTATTAGAACACACAACCCTTGCTTATTACAACCGGGACCGACATGAATGCAAGGCCCTCCTTAGGAATGCAAAAGCCCTACACGAGGATACCCAGCTTCCAAGGAAGATTGAACAAAGTAACATCACTCCATCGGCTATCCTCTCAAGGAAGCAAAGCTCCACACCTGCCCCAACCACACAGGAACAATGTGTCAACCACTTGACGCAGACGCTAAACCTCTGATAGATGCACGACAGCTCCATATGCATGGGAACCTCTTTGAAAACCTTGACCTCAGAGCATGGTACAACCAACCATTCTCCCAAGAGGAAATCCTGCAAAACCTTTATCGGCAGTGGGTCGCATGAAAGTGTCTTGACTCATCACGCGGGCCATAGAATGCAAAAGAAAGGGCTCCCCTCTTTTGGCCTTCTGGCATATGGGGGGCATAAGGTCGCGCTGATTGGCCGATGACCCTTCCCCCCGTCACACCCCTAGGAAATTCTAGCGCCCAAAATTAGCCTTTGGCATTGAGAACCTTCTTCCTCCAGACATATGTAGCGCCCCCTCGTGAGGAATAATTAGGGGAAGAAAGTCAAACGACTCAATCTATCTCTAGTTTAGTTACTAAGAGATGACCGAAGTTGTGATGTGCTTATTTTATTATTTATGATTTGCATCACAAGTGTGTTCGAACGCATCGGGAAATCACCGCATGCCGAATTTCATTAGTCGATTCCTGAAAACTTCCATATATTTAACAATGCAACGATAAATTTTCCCACTTATTTTAATTTTGCGAACTTCGCGAGGCTCAAGTGATCGCGAAGTTAAATCACTCGCGATTTATTTATATTTTTTTCCGCGTGCCCACGCGGAAGGGGATGGTCCAGATTGCGAAATTAAATGAGGGTGAAGATTTATCGCGACACTGCATTAGAGCCTTCCTACCATCCATCTGCGCATCCATTTATTCGTGTGAAACAATACTACCTGCTTATACTTTGACCGGGTCGGGAACTTGCGATTCATATGCCAAATTTGGCTCATAAGTCATGGCTAAAAATCATGGTTGTTCCTCATTTTTCTCGTGCATCAAAAAACGCATATGTTTGTCGCCAACGTCAGGAAAATTTGTTGTAAAAATCTTTGGCTCACGAGCACTTGCCTCAATCTTAATTTGACTCACATGGCTAAAATAGTTCCCGACCCCTGGCTGAGACAAGTAGGACAAAGAAAAATGTAATTAGCACATAAGGTAAGAACCTGGAAGAGTACGGGATCCTGTGGAATGATGGCGATTCCCCTTCGGACCTCATGGAGACCATAAGCTTTGGTGTCTCTTCCGTCCAAGAGGATTCGACCCTCAGGTTCTATCAGACGGAAGAGGGCGGCTATCAACGACGACTTCCCTGCTCCTGTTCTCCCCACTATCCCTATCTAGGTTAGGAGAGAGGGGTGAAAAACAGCGTTGTCATGGTTTGGTTCCATGAATGAGAAATGTTGAATTCTTTACCTTTTCTTTTGCCGCTGCTTTGAACGTGAGGTCATTGAGTACCGGCAATGAATCGGCGGAGTATCGGAGGGACACTTGCTCGAACTTAATATCTCCTTCTGAAGGCCAGTTCGACGGTGGTTTTTTATCTGCAAGAAGGATTCAACAATTCCTCCTTCCTGCTCTTGTTCGGTGGAAATTGGATTTCAAAAGGAATGAAATTCACTGCGGCAGTCTTTTACCAGGCGGTGACTCGAGGGCGCCCTCTTCTTCCAACTTAGAGTATTCCATGATTCTTTCAACAGATGTCATCTGATTCTCCAATTCTGCACTCTGTCTTACACCCCATTGAAACATACCCGTCAGCATCATTGCCGAGGATATTGCGAGCCCGACATTCCCGCCCAGTGCCTCTGTTGGATTCCAAGACCTCGTCACTTATATCAAATTATGTACAGTGAAACCACGAAGATTCTGAATTGTTACCCTTGCCAACTGCCATAAAACTGTAGGTGACAGCAGCGAGGTAGACGACAATCAACCAGTCTAACCAAATGCCCAACCATCGGGTACCGGATAGAAAGAGGAACCACGCAGAAGTATGACGATCCTGCGAAATATATCATACAAGAGAACGGAAATTTAAGAATATATTTCCTTGTTGCGAGGGACAAAAACAACAAACTTTTATATTTGTCTCACTTGATGGTTGTCAAACTCCTGCATGAAGATGCTCTCTGTACGTGAGGCTCTGATTGTCGCCAGCCCGTTCAGGGAAGCGCTTAGATGGGAGAAGACCGGACTCCGTGCTGAGATAGTGATTTTGCGAAAGGAAATTTTTTAATGGATTAGAAAATAGTAAATTGCATTTTCAAATGCAACGACTGCAGTATGGATGCAGGTTTATATGGAACATTCAGAAGTGATATAGCACTAATACAACGTACTGGTGGACTCCAGCCGCTTCAAATCCCTTGCAGTTTTCAAATAGAAGTTTCGTAGACAAATGAAGACCACCATGGCGATCACTGTGCCAATTACAACATAATAGTTGGTAACGGAGACCAGAAATGAGATGCCCAGCACTTGGAAGGTCACCTATAATGCAAAGAGGCTATCTCTCAGACGTAATGAAAACTGTGTATAATATCCGAAATACAATTCTCAAGCATGAACTGCAGGACATGGAAGGAGGATGGAGGCGTCGGATTCCAAGCAACTCATGATGTCCATGCAATGTTGTTGCAACGTGACTTGAGTCAAGTGACGTTGCAGTAACGTCGCGTAGACATCATTTATATGTACTGTATGTGTTGCTTGGGACGAGATAAGAGCGTAGGAGCATATGAAAAAGCAAGCAATCAGATATACAGGGTGCCCCATAAATCAATATACTATTTCAAAAAAAGCATACTATTAAACAGTTGGCATGAAGAAGAACTAAGATTCACCCAACTCCAGCATGTCATTTAGAATTGTCTTGCCGAAAAAAGAGGAATTTCTGGGCTTTCAAAGTTCCTCAACAAGCCCTCACCCTATATCATTATATTTTGCGAGACTCGTTCCCAAAAAATCACCTCCCTCCTAACTCTCTGATGGGGATCTCAAAAACCATTCAGGTGACAACTTTTCCTCCTTGTTCCAGGCTCAATTACCAAGAGATTTTTCATGACAGCAATAGCAATTTACAGGAACGTTTTTATGTTCCAATAGTCTATCTAAAATTAGAAGAAAAGAAAAGCACGAAGTTCAGCAATTTTCAGATGAGGATTTAAAAAATTGTACCATAAAATCACCCTAAATAAGTTTTGTCTTCCAACATGCATTGAAAGCAGTTTCCGTTTGAATCTGATTCCAAGTCATTATTATGATAAAAAATCTAAAGAACGTACTTTCCATCAGTGCTAACAGCAGCTTATAGCAGTTTGGAAAATATTGCAGTTCGAAATGGTATAATGACTTATGGAACACCCTGTATATTGAGTTCAAGTTTCATTGTTTGGATCGGGATGTCCAGAGGCATTTCTTCCCATATTGACATCCCGAGTCGAGGCTGGGCGCTTCAAAATTCACATCACCATCTAAGACAGGGATGTGCAACCCGCGGCCCGAGGACTTCTTGCGGCCCGGTAATGCATAATGGGATAAGAGATAAAATAACTTTCGTTGCGGACCCAAGGTCCATCACAACTTTGGTCATCCCTTAGTAACCAGAAATAGACTGAGTCCTTTTACTTCCTTCCACTAATTATTTCTCATGCGGGCGGTGCTACAAATGTCCCGAGGCAGGAGGTTCTCGATGCCAAATTGATGAATTTCCTAAGGGAATTTCCTAGGGGTAGAGATAAGGGTCATCGGCCAATCACTGCGACCTTATCCCTTCATATGCCCGATGGCAAAAGAGGGGAGCCTTTGCTTTTGCATTCTATGGCCCGCGTGAAGCTCAGACATTTCCATGCGGCCCACTGCAGAAGTTGCACACCCCTGATCTAAGACATGCTTGCCTCTCTAAACATAAATGCAGTTGGCAGAAGCGTGTTAATATATTTTCTGGTGATGTTTGCACCATTTCTTTTTTTCATGGAGGCATCTACTCTCTTCTTGAAAATTTCCAAAGATGGGAACTATGTCAAAGCTATGTCTTCACGTGACGCGTTTCACGCATTACAGTCCGATAAGTATCTTTCCCCAACTTGAGTCTTACTTTACGTGGGCGCAATGTTAATTAGTCGCCCCCGTCCCCCGCTTTGTGTTGTGTTAAACGCCTATCACGCTTTAAGATATACAGTATACAGGGTGGTCCAAAAGTCCTGTCTCATAGGGATTTATTTTTTTGGTTCGCGATTGAGTCCGCGACATTGACCAGTTGTAAGACAACAGTCACGCAGTCTATGCTGCTATCACTGGAGAGACCCTCGCGCGTGTGCGTGACAGCTTTCATCATCGTGTCCATGTTTGTCAAGCCCTCAACGGTATCCAGTTTGAGCATTTGTGTAGCCATACAAAGCCATTTGAGGCAGGACTTTTGGGCCACCCTATATTGAGAGATACATTTCAGTTCATGAAGAATGCAAGGAAAGCTATATACCAGTGGTCGGGAACCTATGGCTCATGAGCCAAATTTGGCTCACGAGCTGAAAAGTTTGGCTCATTGTCATAGCTGAAAATCATGGTTCTTCCTCTTTTTTCTCATGTATCATGCATGTGTCTGTTGCCAACTTCAGGTAAAATCCTGTTCTGAATATCTTTCGCTCACAAGCACTTAGTTCAAACTCAATTTGGCTCACATGGCCAAAAAGGTTCCCGACCCCTGCTCTATACTATTGCATGTGAGGCGTGAAATTTATGTAAGAAAGTTGAATGGCTCTATTGGCTGTTGCAGGGAACCTGGTTGCGAAGCCAACCAAGTCAGTGGATTAATCTGAGTGCAATCCCAAGCGCGTTTTGGAAAGGAGATCCCTGAGCATGTAGTACTTCCGTGTCTAAGTATCGGACATACACGGACCACAGTGATGTTCGCGACTAGTGTATCGCTAGAGTAATCGCTAGACCCTAATTGATCTGGGATTAAGGCGGTAAGAGGTGACTTATCATTCAGGGAGGTTACAGGGGGAGGGCGTTTACATGGAGATACAGGGAAAAGGGGGAGCGTTCAATGTGGTTTCGGTATCAGCACATTTATGAACATTTATGAGCATCCTGTGCCTGATGACTAATCTTGTGTCGTGCGAGATTTTTACAGGGTTTAGTAAGCATTTGTGCTGTGCATAGTACGAAGGTCCACAAGGATGTTCCCTACAGCATATAACAGTGATGCAGGATCCAGAAAACTCGATAATCTTACTCCAAGAGTGTCAAAAGCTGTGGGAGGCAGCATGTCGTCTGATGCTCCGACGTCCTTACTGAATCTGTTCAGGATCCGGCCTGCAGAATGCAATGGATTGAACAAATCATGTATCCGTTTCATTTGTTAGATACTAATTACAGATTTAATGCCCTCTTGGATGAGTGAATGTGAATATGGGACTCACCAACTGGGTTGTTATCGAAGAAGGTAACTGGGGCTCGGAGAACAGATTTGAACATTTGACAATGAAGGTTGATTGAAGATTTCATGCATATGTGAAAGAACAAAACCGTCCGAAGCATGGACAGGAAAAACAAGGCCGCCACGATCGCCACGTAGATGTACATCGGTATCCATGAATCCAGATGGGGATCGCCAAAGATGATCTCTACTGCTGAACAATTTTGATGGATTGCAGCTTCCTGAGCATTGGTCCTGAAAGCAAAAGCAATGAAGAGTTGCGTAGTCATGCTCTTGTGAAAGATGAAGAGTCATACGTTGAAGGAAAGAACGAACCAGTAACAGAGCCACCAATCAGAGCCTGAAAATGCAGCCTGGGTGAGGATGTTACTGACGAGCAGTAGGAAGAGAAGCAGCCATCCAGCACCTGCCGTCATGTATTGCCAATATGTCCTTACTGATACCTTCCCGCGGCATCTCGTTTCTTCCGCGAATGTTGGTGCAGATGCCGTGTCTCCGAGCTGTGCACGAAGTCATGAATTTGCATGTAGGGTTCTATGAGCCTACTTCATTCATATCTTCTTTTTAAAAATCTCACGAAAGCTGACTGTCGGGAGGATGGGACAGCAAATGAAGTGGGGAATGGGGATGGAATGGGATTCACAATTTACATAAATTTGGAAAATTCTAAAACCCATTAGACCTTATTTTCCTGTCACCTCCAGTGTCCCCCTGTTATCTAATGTAGCATCGCCTAAGTTAATCCCGAGAGAAATTTGACAGGAGCGATTGATGCAGCGGAAAAGTAGGTTTGAGTGAGATTGAGCGATTCCTAGCTAAGCACAAATAATAGTGAGTCCCATTTGAACTCATTTTCCCTGTCTCATTTACTGTACTGCTCCCTCCTCCTGCTTATCTTTTATGGCAATAACTATAAGCTGAGAGTGACGTGTCATAAAACTGATTAATTCAACCACTTATTTCTATTCCAGAGGATTAGAGATGTCAACAATTCCTGCGGATTCTGTCTTTTCGAAATCGTATACAAGCATAATGTGCATAATTATGAAATTGAAGATTGTCTCCCAGTAGTATCCAAATGACAGAACTCTGACGCTTTTGCAAAGGAGAAGCAGTATAGTCTCGCTGTCTTGTCGGAATTTTTTTGTTGTAGGAGAAATTAGACATAGATAGAAAGACCCTGGCTTCATGTCGTGGATCACCTGCAAGAAATCAGTTACCTGTTTGGTTTAGGACCGCATTTAGCCCTCTTTGTCCTGCCCAGGGGATGGGTTTTGAGCGAGTGTTCTCGCAATAAATATTTTGTACTGGGATAGATGAGACAAGACAACTCACAAATTAGACAACAGGAATCAGTTGTACGCAGGTACTTAGTGGGGAGGAGGAGGTCACTCGTGAATTAATACTACCGGTTTAAAGCATAAGAAGAAGTTTGACGCGAACGACTTCCTGGAAGAAATTCTCTGCTCTGATGTCCACACATAGCACTCCAGTGGGGAACTTCGTGCGGACTTGACTTCGGATGCATGTTTCAGTTATAGAGGGACCCCATGTTGCTAAATAAAATTCCGTTGCACCTCGCAGCGCAGCTACACAACGAGTTTGTTATATAGGTGGCGAGTCTGCAAATAAAGCTTGTTTCTCATTTTATCTTGTTAGTTTTGTGACGTGACAAATATTTTCTTCATAAAGGATGCAGTTGAATTCTCTGAAGCAACAATTCCCTTTAATTAAGTAATCGACGAACTCAACAAACTGCAACCGCATCGTCATTTTAGACTTGTTCTAGGACAATGAACATCATCAATAGAAGGGCTTCATTCTATTGCGTGAGAGAGTTTAGTGACATCCCAATATTTCATATTTCTTGCCTTCGTAATAGACGGTTTTTTTTTTCAGAAGAGTAAGCAGGATAAAATCTCATGCGACACCATACTTTTTAAGAGTATTTTTGTCCGTGGTCTTACTAGGGTGAAGCATCGGTTCAAGCTCTGTAGGAACTCCCACTTGCATCGATGACCGCAGGCCTGCAGTAGTGCCTGCTCTGACGTCACTCTCAGCTTACCTATCACACTTTTCATATTTAGCGAAACCAAATTCATCGATCCTCTACTTATTAAAATGAACTTGCTGTCGGAGTAAGTACGGTCTGACTTTCAGATCCGAAACTTGCGAATTCTCCCACACCGAACTCTCTCGTCCTAGACTTTGTATGCTTAAAATCGAATGTGTGCTCTCTCGTCCCCTCAATGACATCCTCTCTTGCGGATATGGCTGATAAAGCCGGTAGTCAAAGCACTTTAGGTTCGGTCTGAAGTCGTTAAGCGACATACATGGGGAGCAGCGATGACAGGGGACGTACCTATGTTGTTTTTACGGAAAATGAATGGGTGCATGAAACGTCTCGACACGATTACAGTGATACTTGAAGAAGATGGATGTTACGTGAGCTAGGATGATGATGACATCTGCTTTTTCGAGAAATTGAAGCTGATGAGTGACCAATATCCTTGGCTTCTCCTTCAAGTACCCCATGATGCATTTGTCGAATAGGTGTCTTCCTACAAGAGTGTCTACTGCTGACAACGGATCGTCCAAAAGATAAATGTCTGCTTCTTGGTACAACGCTCTATTTGTTCACAAGCAAAACTCATCGTCATTAAATTTTACCAGAACGACAGATTTTTGTTTCAATTTAGCAAGAATGAGGAACTTGGGATGCGTATCCAGACCTGGCAAGAGAAACCCGGGCTTTCTGTCCGCCAGAAAGAGTGATTCCTCTATCCCCAACCAGACTCCTTTCCTTATGGGGGAATCGTGCAAGGTCCTTGTGAAGTGCACAGGCGTGGACAACTCGGCGAAACAGTTGTTCATCATATGGTTTCCCAAATATGATATTTTGACGGATAGATCCGGCAAAAACCCAAGGTTCTTGTCCTGTATATCCTAACTTTCCGTTGACCTTGAGTTCACCACTCTCCAAGGGTAGTTCGCCCAAAATCGCCTGAACCAACGAGCTCTGCCCAAAAGAGGATCTGTTAATCCTTGCTATCATAGTCAGTAGATGGTACCCCTGAAACAAGTTGTACCTTTCCACTGCCGACAGGACCGATGATGGCAACCAGTTGACCAGGCCCTACGGATAGAGAGATGCCGTTGAGAACAGTGTTGTTTTGACTTCTCGACCATGACGCTACTGCACTCTTCATCTCTATTCCTGGATTTGAATCCTTTGGCAAAGTTTGTGCGGAATCTTGGGTATTATTAGCTACGCCATTGGAACTAGGACTAGGTTCTTTGATGCGGTCTTCCTTCCTCAATTCTTCAAGCAGGAGAAAGTCCTATTTTGGAAAGAAATCACGATTAAATTTCGAATTGTTATTTGACTTGAAAAATACGGGCTGGAAGGGATTGGAGTATGCTTGACCTGAAGTCGTCTGACGGAGACGATAGTTTCCGCCGCTTGAGCGATCCCGAATGGAAAAAAGAACGTCATGACCAATCGCACGTTGTTGTAGAGGGCCACAGCAAGGAATACCTGAAAAAAAGATGCTTTATGAGTTTTTTCTACCTCATTTAAGCTGCAATGGTACGGTTTCCTGTTGATTTTGAGAGGAGCGTTGTCAACTAAATCTGTGTGAAGTACAAGAGCAGTGTTGCAAGTTCCTTTCATTTGAAAAACATTGGGTAATTATTTTAAAATTGCGCTAGGACATCCGACTGCATAGGTAAGATTGAAGTAAATGGTATTATGAAGTATTGCTTCAGTGATTCATCACTCGCGAAACAAGATCATAAGTCTTGGTTGGAAGAATGGGTTGGCCACTTCGTGAAGCTATCTTAAATCAATACTTTGCCCTCTTGCACTTCCATATAAGGTAGGAATAGACGGTAGTCCTATCCATAGTTTTCAGCTCGCTCAAGATTTCATGTCTGACTGACAACAGGCCCTAAAAAGGTACCTTTTCAGCAGTGAGGTCATTGCCAAGCACCATATAAACGATGAAATTGACGAGGAGAATGACTTTCGACGAGGAATAGAAAAGGCTCATGTTGATGCCCCGGAGATAAGATGTTCTTCTGATCACGCGAATCTCGTTCCTGGGAAATGAGTAAACAGCTTTTTCTTTTGTGGAACCTTTAATCTGTAGGGTGGCAATAATAGATGCAAACTCTCATGGCAGACGTGTGACCGACCAAAAGATTACTTTTAGTCTTAACCTATTCTATAGCCTATATAGTTTCACAAGGTGATTGGAAAGAAAGTATCATACTGTACTTCAGAGCACTATAGTGCCTAAACTAACAGGTATAGGATGGTACCATCGCAGACGTAAGTGACACGGGGAATCTATTCTCAGCATTTGCCAAGTATTGCCGCCGGGGGCGTTGCCATGGCATGATTTGCACTGAAGTAATGCCGTTTTTGTGGTAAAGTTTCAATATCTGCCGTCTCTGAACTCTCATCTCCTTCGTGATGCATACTGGTCTGCAAAGTGGTGTCAGCACTATATTTATACGTTTTTTCCCTTACTATTTTTAGGTAATATGCAATGGTGGTACTCCTGTGGCAAGATTCTGTAGGATCTACAATTGATAACCCCATGTGGCACTTGTCATGCCTATGAAGCGGCACTATCCTACTCCTTAGAATTTAGGCATAATTGTGCTCTGAAATGAGATACTTCATAATAACCCTGTACTTTTCCACGTCACCGATTTGACTGATTTTACAACATCGCTTGTCCTAGGCTGAATGATTCAGAGGAGTGCGTCACGTTGACCGCTTCCGAACTACGCCGTTTCGCCAACGTACGGCTCATCTTCCATGAATCATTCAGCTTGGAACAAGGCATATTGCTAAAACACAGTATTCAGAAGACAAAAAGTCGGAAGGATACTATGTATCAGTTTGAACTCAAAATTCTCTACTTTATCTGACTCGTTAACTGACTTAGCATTACAAAATTCGTTTCCTTTTCAAAAGGATTTCCAATTTCGAATTCTCGCCATTTCTTGAAATGGTCATTTGTTGTTATGACACTTTTTGAGCAATGATCTATTCAACATTTTATATACATACTGGAAAATTCGGCCATCAGTTTCGTGAAATCCAAGCCAGACTTCAGCAATTCGCTGTATGTACCCCTCGTCGCTACTGTCCCCTGCATGGATACAACAAAAATGCCTTTTACTTACCCACGTACTTTGCAGAGCGCACGATTACAGTGATACTTGAAGAAGATGGATGTTACGTGAGCCAGGATGATGATGACATCTGCTTTTTCGAGAAATTGAAGCTGATGAGTGACCAATATCCTTGGCTTCTCCTTCAAGTACCCCATGATGCATTTGTCGAATAGGTGTCTTCCCACAAGAGTGTCTACTGCTGACAACGGATCGTCCAAAAGATAAATGTCTGCTTCTTGGTACAACGCTCTGTTGGTCCACAAGCAAAACTCATCGTCATAAAATTTTACCAGAACGACAGATTTTTTTCAATTTAGCAAGAATGAGGAACTAGGGATGCGTATCCAGACCTGGCAAGAGAAACCCGGGCTTTCTGTCCGCCAGAAAGAGTGATTCCTCTATCCCCAACCAGACTCCTTTCCTTATGGGGGAATCGTGCAAGGTCCTTGTGAAGTCCACAGGCGTGGACGACTCGGCGAAACAGTTGTTCATCATATGGTTTCCCAAATATGATATTTTGACGGATAGACCCGGCAAAAACCCAAGGTTCTTGTCCTGTATATCCTAACTTTCCGTTGACCTTCAGTTCACCACTCTCCAAGGGTAGTTCGCCCAAAATCGCCTGAACCAACGAGCTCTGCCCAAAAGAGGATTTGTTAATCCTTGCTATCATAGTCAGTAGCTGGTACCCCTGAAACAAGTTATACCTTTCCACTGCCGACAGGACCGATGATGGCAACCAGTTGACCAGGCCCTACGGATAGAGAGATGCTGTTGAGAACAGTGTTGTTCTGACTTCTCGACCATGACGCTACTGCACTCTTCATCTCTATTCCTGGATTTGAATCCATGGGCAAAGTTTTTGTGGAATCTTGGGTATTATTAGCTACGCCATTGGAACTAGGACAAGGTTCTTTGATGCGATCTTCCTTCCTCAATTCTTCAAGTAGGAGAAAGTCCTATTTTGGAAAGAAATCACGATTTTATTTCGAATTGTTATTTGACTTGAAAAATACGGGCTGGAAGGGATTGGAGTATGCTTGACCTGAAGTCGTCTGACGGAGACGATAGTTTCCGCCGCTTGAGCGATCCCGAATGGAAAAAAGAACGTCATGACCAATCGCACGTTGTTGTAGAGGGCCACAGCAAGGAATACCTGAAGAAAATGATGCATTATGAGTTTTTTTCTACCTCATTTAAGCTGCAATGGTACGGTTTCCTGTTGATTTTGAGAGGAGCGTTGTCAACTAAATCTGTGTGAAGTACAAGAGCAGTGTTGTAAGTTCCTTTCATTTGAGAAACATTGGATAATTATTTGCAAATTACGCTAGGACATCTGACTGCATAGGTAAGTTTGAAGTATAGATAAATGGTATTATGAATCATTGCTTCAATGATTCATCACTCACGAAACAAGATCATAAGTCTTGGTTGGAAGAGTGGGTTGGCCACTTCGTGAAGCTATCTTAAATCAATACTTTGCCCTCTTGCACTTCCACATAATGTAGAAATAGACGATAGTCCTATCCGCAGTTTTCAGCTCGCTCAAGATTTCACGTCTGACTGACAACAGGTCCTAAAAAGGTACCTTTTCAGCAGTGAGGTCATTGCCAAGCACCATATAAACGATGAAATTGACGAGGAGAATGACTTTCGACGAGGAATAGAAAAGGCTCATGTTGATGCCCCGGAGATAAGATGTTCTTCTGATCACGCGAATCTCGTTCCTGGGAAATGAGTAAACAGCTTTTTCTTTTGTGGAACCTTTAATCTGTAGGGTGGCAATAATAGATGCAAACTCTCATGGCAGACATGTGACCGACCAAAAGATTACTTTTAGTCTTAACCTATTCTAATAGCCTATTTAGTTTCACAAGGTGATTGGAAAGAAAGTATCATACTATACTTCAGAGCACTATAGTGCCCAAACTAACAGGTATAAGTTAGGATGGTACCATCGCAGACGTCAGTGACACATGGGAAATCTACTCTCAGAATTTGCCAAGTATTGCCACCGGGGGCGTTGCCATGGCATGATTTGCACTGAAGTAATGCCGTTTGTGTGGTAAAGTTTCAATATCTGTCGTCTCTGAACTCTCATCTCCTTCGTGATGCATACTGGTCTGCAAAGTGGTGTCAGCACTGTGTTTATACGTTTTTTCCCATACTATTTTTAGGTAATATGCAATGATGGTACTCCTGTGGCAAAATTCTGTAGGATCTACAATTGATAACCCCATGTGGCACTTGTCATGCCTATGAAGCGGCAATATCCTATTCCTTAGAATTTAGGCATGATTGTGCTCTGAAATGAGATACTTCATAATAACCCTGTACTTTTCCACGTCACCGATTTGACTGATTTTACAACATCGCTTGTCTTAGGCTGAATGATTCAGAGGAGTACGTCACATTGACCGCTTCCGAACTACGCCCTTTCGAGAGGTTCGCTATGCTGGGGAGGTTTAACGCATCCCGAGCCGTTTCGCCAACGTACGGCTCATCTTCCATGAATTATTCAGCTTGGAACAAGGCATATTGCTAAAACAATATTCAGGAGACAAAAAGTCGGAAGGATACTATGTATCAGTTTGAACTCAAAATTCTCTACTTTATCTGACTCGTTAACCGACTTAGCATGACAAAATTCGTTTCCTTTTCAAAAGGATTTCCAATTTCGAATTCTCGCCATTTCTTGAAATGGTCATTTGTTGTTATGACACTTTTTGAGCAATGATCTATTCAACATTTTATATACATACTGGAAACTTCTATCTGCGAACATGATACTTTTTTCTGTCTCTCTCCCAACAGCAATGATTGATGAAGCATCGAACAGAATTCAACCACTTGAAGCTAGTTTCATATGAGACTGCCCATATTTTGGCTTATTCTGGATGGTCTGGTTATTTGTAGCTGTGGGTCTTGAAACAAATATAAAAAATATTGCAAAAGTAGTCATATCAGGAACGTGGAGAAGCACAACTAAATTGATTTTCCGGAGACCAACTATAATCCTGTGGCCTGTCACATCTCTGCTGGCCATGGTGAATCTGATATTGTGCACCCATTTTCAGCACTCCATAGAATATTTTGGAGGAAAAAGTAGCAGACTCTCTAGCAACGTCGACCATCTTGGCGAAGGGCTTTTCCCACGCGTACATCTTGATCACTCTGATGGCATCCAAGATTTCGTTCATGAGTCCAACTCTTTCGTCTGTTTTTTCGGCAGTCATCAAGCGGAGACGGGAAAACCACCTCGCCATCTGACCTGTTAAAATACA